TTCCTGATGAAGTCCGCACAATGACGAGCCCTCTGCGACCGAGTAGATCTAATCCGGACATAACATCAATATCGCAGTATTATGGTCCTGTAAAGAGCGAGTGTCCAGAACATGTACTGAAGATTTACAGGTTGGTTTCCCTTGTAATTATGCTCAGTGCTCGATTTATGAGTGTTTTAGGAGCGACCAAACCTTCAAATACCTAGCTGTCTATAAGGAGACTACAGCTCAGAATGTCGTCCAGCTAGCGTTACAGGTTGGCTTTAAAGTTCATTATTGTCTTATTATGGTGTTACATCCTATATAACACACTTTTATTCATTTTATTTATCCCAAAAATATTTTTGGAAAGAGCTTATGTTCATAAAGCGACATACGCGACATTGTAATCTGGATGCTCAAATCGCATATCATATTATTTTCATAAAACGACTTAGCGATGTTGTATATGGATGCTTAAAGTCGCACGACATTTAGCAAAATAATTATTTTACTATTTTTCATCGTTTGTCTCAATATGACCATAACAACATTGTGCATACATAACTACCGTTCTTTTGATTTTCAGGAATTCAACATGACAGCCGAAGGTAGCCTGGAATGGTCGTTATGTGAATGTACAGTCACAGAGGACGGAGTCATAAAACAACGACGGTTACCTCCACAGATGGAAAATCTCGCAGAGCGAATCGCTTTGAATAGTCGGTACGTACGCAGTGTTTTTTATGCTCTCTGAATTTCAGATGTGAATATGAAGGAGCTTGTTGCAGGTACTATCTGAAGAACAATAATCGCTCTGAACCACTTGTTCCCGATGATCTTGCTCCAGAAATTATGCGTGATGCACAAGCACAATTGCTTAGTCTCAATGCTCAGGTAAAATTGCCTAGCATGGTTTCAAAATGTTTGAAAAATCGCAATAATTATAGGTAGTTGCTGCACAACTCACTTTGCAAGACTTCGCAGTGTTTGCATCAATAGAGCCCACGGAATACATTGACAATCTCTTCCAGTTAGAGTCCAGGTAAGAGTTGTCTGTTCCTCTGCCAGTAATTTCTCCCCAGATGCTTTTTATTGCGCATGCCACAATCTTTGCGTTAATCTTCTTCGGTGGCTCCTGGTAATTTTTCGTGTTTGCGTTTTGGGGTTTTGATATATTTGATCTCTGAAAAT